CATCCGCTGCCGAGAGAGATGCTGGCGGGGACCAGGATGCCCGGGGAGGCCGGACCGTGGGTGCAGGGGGATGCTGGGCTCTGGGTGCTCTCCCTTCTCCCATACCTGGCTATTTTTTCCCGGGGATGCTCTGCGGAGAAGCCCGTGCAGCTGCCGAGCTGTGCCGATGCGTGGCTGGATTTGAGCCCTGCCAGTGCATGGATGGATTTTGTGCCCCAGTGTGCGGCACCCCCAACCCTTCCCTGCCCCTCCGCCTGTGGCTGCAGCCTGCACCGGGCTGCGGGATGGGGAATGTGGGGGGCCCTGGGGTTCAGCCACCCCACCAAAGCCATGCTGCTGGGTGCTGCCCTGTGCCTGCGTGTGCTGGAGGGTCTGGGGTCACGGCCGGCCGTGGGGGAATGTCCCCTTGTGCCACTGATTCTTTGGTCAGAGAAGGGAGCCAAGTGCTTTCAGAAGGTCTCGTGTGACTATGGCTTGTGCCCCATCAGCTGCTGTGCCTCAGTTTCCCCATCATGCACATCCCTACCATTAGCCGGCACTCTGGGGCCACTGCTGCAGGGGGGTGGTGGGGGGGAGGGGGTGGTCTTGCTCCCCAAATCAGAGGTGCCCATCCACGTGAGCTGTTCCCAGGGCTCTATACACAGCCATGTGGATGCCCAAAAAATCCCTCCTGGCCTCGCTCAGGGCTGCGGACGGGCAAGAGGACAGACTTCCTCCCACCCCTCCCAAAATAGCTGCCGGTTGCTATTCGCTGCTCCCCACCCCAAGCAGTGCTACCATCCAAATTACAGTCAAATCTGGCTGGGTGTTCAGTTTTGCATGTGCCTACGGGCACGGCGCGGGTACAAGAGGGCAGTGCCCCGCGCTGGGCTGCCCTGGAACCCTGCAGGTAGGTGCAGCCTTTGCCTTACGAAAACAACCCCAAAACCTCCTGGAACCACGGGCTGCTCCGCCATGGGGGGTTGGAAACCTCGGAGTGTGGTGGCACGCTGTCCCCAACTTGGGGGACCCCTCTTTAGAGGGATGCAGAGCTCAGAAGGGGGGGAGGGGGGTCCAGGGCAGGATGTGGCCATGGGATACAGCACCAAAGTCCCTATTTTCAGCCCCGCAGAGCCCCCGGCTGTCACCATGGATGAGTGGGACCTGCCACAGTGGAAGAAGGAGGTGGAAAGCCTGAAGTACCAGCTGGCCTACAAGCGGGAGATGTCCTCCAACGATACCCGAGTGAGTGGGTGCCCTCCTTCCCCTCCCCTCCCACCCCTCTCTGCGCCCCCAGCCCAGCCCAGCAGCGGGACGTGGCTTTGCGCAGCCGGGAGCAGAGCCCAGCTCTTCTCCGTCCCACAGCACCAACATCCCCCTTCCAAATCACCTGGGGGCTCACAAAACAAAGCAGGTTTAGAGATTTTTAGCGCACTTACAGTTCGTTGAGCCCTCCGAGCCCCAGCGGCAGAAACCACGTCAGCCCCAGTGCCGGTGCCCACAAAGCCCCCATGTTCCTTTCCTCACCCCCCCGCCCCCGTGCCAGCTCCTTTCCAGCTGCCCAAGCTCCGGTGGTGGCCGGGATGTGGCAGCGTCCCTGGGACCTTCTGACACCCGGGTGCCCCTTGGGAGCACCCAGTGTTGCGTGCTCAGCTGGGCAAGTGTGCAGACCCCCACTTTGAAGAGCTTAAAAATCTTAAACCTTCAAACCAAAGTCATGGAAAGGCGTTTCCTCTCCCTGGTTTGTGTCTTACTGCTCTTCGCCATGGAGGGGCTTGGGACATCCCACCAGTTAACCCAGTGCTTGGGACATCCCACCAGTTAACCCAGCCCGCGTCCCCCTCACTCGCTGGCCTCTTAGAATGGGGGGGGACAGAAAAAGAGCAACTTTAGCAAATAAGTTTTAAAACACACCCCAAAGGCTGTCCCCATGCAAAGAGCACACGGGCAGCCACAGGAGTGGGGGACGAAAGCCTTTTATTAAAATTGTCTTGTGCTTAATTCCCCCATCCGCAAACCGGGGAGGGGGGAAGCGGGGGGGGTGTCATGCGCTGGTGCGGCTCACGCACGCTGCCACCAGCCCGGGGTGCCCCCCGAGTGCCATGCCCCCCAGCGCAGGGTGCACCCCGGCAGCACCCCAGCATCACTCCCCGCCAGCGCAGGAGTTATCCCGCACACTGCAGCTCCCCCCACCCCCCGGCC